ATGGCCGGTCTTTCCTCTGCCAGTTTGGAGGGCTGCCCCAGATTGAGCAGAAGGGCTGCCGCCCTCCCACAATCAAGCAGGGGTCCCCTCCTTGCTTGTCGCCCCTACAGGGCAACTTTTGACCCTTTTCTGGGTCCCCCAGTGGAGCAAAGTCGGACACGGAAGACAGAACCAGTCTTCCAGCGCCCACGGTGGCTGCGATGGCAAACCAGAAATCAACCTGCTGCCTTGTTGTGGTCCATCACATCGCCTTCCCCTTTGTAGATACATTCCATCAGTCAGTGATGCATATACATTGAAAGACAAGATATAATGTTTAAAATATAAACGTACTGATAAAACTCCAGTCCTTTCTGATCTGCATTTGCTATCTGTTTCCAAGGTAAATTCAAAGTGTTGCCTTTCACCTTAAAATCCTAAATGGCTTGGGATGAAAGTTTTAAGGAATACCTTATCCTCTCTGTTGCCCATTTAGAATTATTTAGAATTCTTTATTAGCCAAGTGCGTGTGGACACACAAGGAATTTGTCTCTGGTGCTTAAGCTCTCAGTGTACATACAAGCAATAAGTGATAAATCAGGATCATAAAATAGAATCATCTATATAGTTGGATCCATTCCTTGCAGAATGAATTGAGTAGTGGCCCACTAAGGTCTGTAAAACCTTAGCAGGGCAAGAGTGGATTGTGCTGTGTCAAGGGACAGCCACTCCCCCCCACCAGCTCTCCTAAATCTCTGTCAGGCTCCAGAAACCAAGAAAGATTACATAGTGATTTTTCCAAGCAGATTTCTTTATTGTTCTACACCATAGACAGAATCTTGCCACACTGATGCAGACTATAACAGAGTACACTCTGAGAACTATTAAGGAGGGACTGTCTTCACCCCCTTTGTCTCACACAAACTATCTGAACCGAGTTGTCTCTTACTTCTATGGAATGCACTCCTTCCCCATCTACTAAATCTCCTCCCCCCACCAGTGCTACCATCCACAGTACTTTCCTGGAATCTCTGTACCTTAAGGAAATGTTTGTGAAAGGGAGTGAAGTGGTAGTGATTGATCCTTCTGTTGTTTCTGCAGCATAATACTGGAACTCGATCCACTTTCTCCATCTTCTCCTCCTAATAGGAAAGGCTGAAACTGCCAAGAGTTGATGGGAACCATTTAGAGCCAATGGGAGAAGATGACCTCTCCCTGCAGAGATGTGAAGAATATGAGGAGGTAGGGATTCATGTGATGGAAAGGCAAGGAAGACAATCACCCGAACATAACTTGGCAATTACATAGGCTATTGTTGCCATCTGAGCATCCTTCAAAGTTGATGGTTCCAACATTTCACTTTAGCGCTCTGTGTGATTTAGTTTCGGATTTGGCAGAAGATAAAAGTACTCTAGAAAGTTTATGATGGTTTATATGAAGTGCCCTAGAGGAGTTTATTAGAATCTACAGAGGGATTTTTTTTTTTTTTCAGGCTGTGTTGTTAAAAAAATTCTGAATTGCTGATAAAGAAATTTTTCATGATTTTTAAATTTAAATTTAAAAATTATAATCTTGCTTTTTATAAATGTAATTTTTAATATTAATATCAATTTCTATATATTGTTTTTAGCTGAGTAGTATGCTGCCCAGAGTCACTTGATTGTGAGATGGATAGCTACATAAATATGATCTGTAAATAAATAAATAAATAAATACCTCCGGTGGTAGAAAATTGACTGCATTCAAGTGAACTTTTTTTTCTTTTGCCCTTTAGTCTCTCACAGGCTACATCAAATTTTCATAGAGCCTAGGATTCCATGATGGAATATAGTTTGAATAACCCTGATCTAAAAGACTGCAGCCTTAAACTTCAATCTCATGCGCACTTTCTTTGGGCTTAAGCTTGGCTGACTTCAGAGAGAATTGATTTCAATTAACATATACAGGATAATATTCTGTTTAATTTCCTTTTGTAAGAGAGAACGATAAATACCTACCTGTGTACTGAAATCATTGTATGATATTCCAAAAATATTTGAAATATTAACCATCAGTTCAGAAGCATCATCTTCCTTATACTATATATGTTCCAATAAATGGTTTTCTAAATTTATTCAGCAAAGATTTTTCTTTAAAGTTCTGGTTCCTCTGGAGCAGGATTTGCCCCAGTTCAGAGATGGAGCACTAAAGAAGAAGTAAAAAGTAAGAAGAATCTTTCTGATGTTTTTCCATGGTAAGCTTATTACCAGAACTTCCATAGAGATGGTGTGTGTGTGTGTGTGTGTGTGTGTGTGTGTTTATGTGGGTGTAGGTGGGTGGATGGGTGCTTTTGTATGTATATATACAAATATTATAGCTAAATTCTGGAATGTCAGAATTTCAAAGTATTAAAGCTGCAACTTTAAAGCACTTCCTTCTATCTTTCTATTTACACTTCATGATCAGAATTTAAGTAATTTTTTGTTGGTCAGCCCAGAATTAAAATTTGGATTTGCAGAGTTAATTTCATTTACACACAAATTATAGGATGCTCCACTATTGGTTTGCATCTATTTAGAAATATATTGAAAGACTTCACATCATTACCAAGCATTGAAAACCCAGTGTCATCATAGACAAATTCTACTCACTGATATGGATAGAATATTGTGCACTTCTGTGAAATGTAACTCACTTATAATGTAACTGTACTTTTTAGTTTCACAACCAAGAAAAAAACCCCATCCTGTGACAGTATGAAAAAGAGGGTCCCTTGTTACTCCATCAGTTATATACAAGACTGGGCATAATTTTGCATTTAGCCTCCTTATTTTTATTTTTTGAAAACATTATCTTTTTATAAATAAATGCACCATCACTCTAAAGCACTCCTCTTAAAAATAGTTTAAAACAGATAAGTTATGAACAAAACCATTTTTAAAAGTCATTTTTCTCCTCATGGTTAGGAAGGGAAAGGGATGGCACAGGAATAGGAATGCCTTCTATTCATTTCACAACCTCCTGCACTGACAAATGAATAAGAAGAGTTAAAAAGTATAGAATTTCCCTGTCTCTGCTTGTCTTCAACAGGAGACGTTCACACACTTTCCAAAGCAGCTAATAATATATGTCTGGAGCCCTCATTGTTAGTCTAAGCAGAAAAGTAACGTTAAAAATCAAAAGCAACAGCAAACATATCTCCTTAATATGCCATAACGCTTCCAGCACCCCGACACCATCGCCCCTGTCATATCCAGTTTGCACGTGTCCTTTCTAGCTTTCATTGCCAGCCTGAACCTGCACCTCGTGGAAGCCTGTCCTGGACCAGACACAATTCTCCGGCAGGAGAAAAAAAAGAGAAGCAAATAAACAAACTGAGTGGTGTTAAAAAAAGAAGAATTGCCTCGCAGGTGCCTGCAGCTGGCGGTTAACACAGACAGTAAGAGGATCAACTCCTTCTCCACTGGCTGGAGGGAAAAAAATAAAGCTCCTACATTTACTATTCAAAGTTTAGTTAATTTGGATGATAACGGTTAGTTTCTAATCCCATTGTGCAAGGACTGAATATACTGAAACCTAACAGCTTTCTGAAAGGATATCTCTCGCAAGCAGAGCAGCACTCGGGAGCGTCCCTGGACTGGTTCGAGCAAGGCACGCTGCTTCTGAAAACTTTTTGTAAGGATTTGTTTAGTCACCCACCAGGTTGCAGACAAAACAGGTTGCAGACAAAACATCGAGAAAGAACATTTCTTTGGCTAGTATTTCATCACGAGAGAAGAGCCCCAATTTGCATTTTACCATGAAACCGGTGAAAAGAGGAAGAAAACAGTAAAATTTAAGGACATTATGTGACACTTTCCAAACTAAAGTAATAATAAAAGAGATTAACATTAATCTATTTTAAAGGAAAAGAAGAGAACCTCCAAAATATGACAGTGAAACTAAGAATTTGAAATCAGGAGCACAGCGATAGAATTTCCCTGGGATAGGCTCCGTTTCCAGAATGACTGGATCGAAAGCCTAGGGTCTGGCACACTTCTCCAAATATCTCTGCTCAATTTTATATGAACTGGCAAACCCCCAGTTGTATTTTTGATCGCATTTGTTACTCAGGCAGTCAATAGATCAAATGAAGTGGTTGGGATGTGTGTGTGTGGGGTGTCCTGAGGTAATGAAGTAAGGAGGTCCCGCTGCAAGATGAAAGAAGTCTGGAAATGCGCACGGAAGCTTTGGCGAGGCAAAGGATCCTCCTCCTTCTGTGAATTTCCTCAGATTCCTGTTAGAGTATTTCCCATATTTCCTTCTTCAGCCTTTCAAAATAAGTAAAACATCTTCCCCCAAGTTCCATTATTTTCCCCTGGACGCCCCCCCTCGAACAAATCTGTTGCCCCCCCAAATGAGAGTGCTTTGCGCTCTCAAGGCAAGAGGCGCCGCTGCCAGAACAGAGGCCCTTGGAAACAAAATTAACAATGCTGTGAAAATATGTTTGCAGAAAATAGACAATTGTTGGATTAGACTATTCAAGTATGAAATAATGCCTTTTTGTGTAAAAACTTCAGCAATGTGCGTGTACAAAAGTTCCCTGTGGCAGTTACTTGCTCCTTTTGTGAGCGCTGCGCTTTGGCGTCTCCACTTGGCGCGTTTCACTCCAAGCCCCTTTAAACGCGATTGTTTCTTTCTTTCTCAAGACATTTACCGGATCAAAACATGCTGTTAATTCGATCAGAAAGCTTTACCCTCTCTAACAATACCACAATAATTTCTCCTGAAGTTTGTTAAATTGACCAAAATTAGGCAAATGAATAGGTGCAGGTGACACCGCATAATGCGCTCTCGGAACAGCTGCGATTCCCTCTTTATTTTGCCCCTCTTTTCTTTGACCCGCATTATTAAAATTTAGGCCCAATGAAACTATTCACGCTTTTCAATGGGTCATTTTCCTATAGGATAATAGGCTACAAATTGAGCCTCTCCAAAGGCGGGGGGGGGGGAGCGCAGGGGAGCGAGGGAAACAACAAGATGGAGACATACGCACCATAGGAAAAAGGACGGCCGTGTGCCAAAGGTTTGAAGGAGCCTCCCTGGGTCTGCTGAGGGGAGGAGAGAAATTTATAAAGCGGGGAGGGGGTCTTGTGCCACCCTTCAGTCCCCACACCTGCCGGGGTGCCCCCGCCACATAAAGCGATAGAAACAAAAAAGCCTCGCTGCCATCTCTCATAAAGATGGACGCGTCACCAAGTCGTGTGAGAAAAGCCTGAGAACAAACGGACCCACTCCGTCTCCAAGGGCTCTTCCTTGAACTGGGCGGAACAGCCTATTAAGGGCTTACTTAATTACTTTAATGACTCTGGACAGGCTTTAAAATGCAGCCGACGCTTGGGCAGGGAAGGCAGGCGGCGGGGGTCGGGGGAAGAGAGGTGCCTGGGATTTGTAAACAGGCGGTCGTGTGAGACACCGACCAGGCATTTGGGGCCTTTGAAGAAGGGCGCTGGTGTTTCACAACCTGTCAGCGCGACACTGCGCGTCCACTTGTTGCTTCTGGAGCCCTGCGCTGCCCGTTGCCATGCAAAGGCTCTTTGGGGGGCCAATCACGTGTCGTTGAAGGCCACGTGGAGTGACAAAGTGATCTGTCGTCCTTCCCTCACCCGCCCCTAGTCTCTGGCGGGGTGTGTGGGGAAATACCCTGTACATACGCACATTTTAAGAAAACCTTATCTTTAATGCATGTCTTCTCCTACTGCTGTTTTCCCTAATCCTATGGAACCGGGCAGGCTACGAATGTCGCCCCCTCCCTCCCTCAGAAATGATCGCTTTATAAATCGCCTCTTGGAAGTTTGGACTCCACAATCCACCTGGGCCACTTGAACAGAGACCTCGGGTGCCTTCGACTAGCTTTTCCCCGGCGGCTCCTTGCCTCGATGTCTTCAAAACTTAAGGAACGGAAAGTGAGTTGGCGCTTTGGCGGTGCCCCGCGCACTTCAGGCCGAATCCAACCTTCTTCTGCAGAAGGCCTGGTGCCATTTAACCTCAGCCATTCATTGACTTTGTGACTTTGGAAGAGGGTGGAGTAGGCTGGTGGGTGGGGTGGCACGCAGCACCAGGCAGACAAGCTAATAGTGGAAACACTTAGAAAGGAGACTTTTCACGTTGGGCAGCTCCTATGAGCCTGGCATGTCACTGGGTGACCCAGATGTTCAGACGGTCTTGTCTTCTCGTCCTGTCCCATTTTCCCTGCCCTGCCCCATCAAATGGGACTGGGAGCTTATTGGATTCTAGGTAATTGACTACTGTCAAAGGCACACACCTTCTCTCTTTCTCCAAAGTTTCAACAGGGAATGGGGAGAATTTAAATCTAGAATCCCGATTTCAAAAGACGATTTCAACTGATTTTTTTAAAAAGAAGAAGAGCAGATAATAATAATAAAATTGGAAGGGACCTTGGAGGTCATCTAGTCCAACCCCCTGCTCAGGTAGGAAACCCTACACCATTTCGGACAAATGGCTGTTCAGTCTCTTCTTAAAAACTCCCAGTGTTGGAGCATTCACCGCTTCTGGAGGCAGGTTGTTCCATTGGTTAATGGTTCTAACTGTCAGGAAGTTTCTCCTCAGTTCTAGGTTGCTTCTCTCCTTGATGGCTACTCAGAAGTATCGAGTATCGTTTAAATGGCCCTAGGATAATACAAGAACCGGTGGGATTCCATCCGGTTTGATGATCTTCCCGCGTGTTCGCTACTCGTGTATTTATCCTGCACCGCTAATATGTTTTCCAGAAGATCCCCATTTCGCACAAAGTGATCGAAAAGAGGAGAAGAGACCGGATCAACCGCTGTCTAAACGAACTCGGGAGAACCGTGCCCATGGCTTTGGCCAAACAGGTACACGCGCATTTCCCAGCACAAAAAAAAAAAAAAAAAAAAAACAAAACCCAACTTCCGCGGGCTCGGCGTCTTTCCCGAGAAAAAACGCACCAAGTGACACGGTGGCCTTGATTAGAGCCGGCAGTAGTCCAAGGACTGCGAAACCTTGCAATTGCAAATTCGCAGTGGGAAAGCGGGGCTGAGGCGTGTTAGGGAAGGAATGGAAGGGCTTTTTCGTTCTGTGCCACGGCAAGTTTTTTTTTTTCTTCTTTCCCTTCTTCCTTTGCACCGGATTGACTTCTCCTAAATTGTTGCTCTTGTCTCCTTGCAGAGTTCCGGCAAGCTGGAGAAGGCAGAGATTCTGGAGATGACGGTGCAATACCTGAGGGCCCTTCACTCCGCGGATTTCCCTCGGGGAAGAGAAAAGGGTAGGCGCGCTCTTAGGGGGACGGCGCGTCCGGGCGCTTGGCGGCAAGCAGGCCAGCCGGGCAGCCGACGCGGAAAGAGATGCTGGTGGATTTGGGGCAAAGCTTGCGGAGCACCTATAGGTCGACTTGAGGCTAAGACGGAGCTTCCCGAGAATACTAGCTCGGGTTCGCTTAATCCAGTGTTTCTCAACCTTGACAATTTTAAGGCATGTGGACTTCAACTCCCAGAATTCCACAGCCAGCATTGCTGGCTGTGGAATTCTGGGAGTTGAAGTCCACATGCCTTAAAATTGTCAAGGTTGAGAAACACTGGCTTAGTCTCATCTCTAAAATGCCAGAAGATTGTTTTCTCTTGCTACAGATTAAATTTGCTACCTTTTGGGGAATGAAATATGCACCTTTTCAGGCCAGGGCCACGTCGTCGCAAACATTTTGCTGTCCAGTGTGAAGAATTAGATTGCCCTTCCCTTCCCTGCCTTCCTCTGATCACATGACTTTTAGGTGACAGTTAACTGGGTTCCACAACGTGGCATCTTGGCTTATTTTACCCTGGTTTAATGACAAGCCACTATAGACCTTTTCATTTGAAATGCTAAGCGGTAAATTAGGTTTTACATTACTTCAGTGTCTTATTTTGTATGTTGTCTTAGCCCCCCCCCCCATGGTTCTGTGTGGTGGGAGAATCCAGCGGCAGTCCGCCCCCATACCTGAAAATAGCAAATTCAAGACTTTGATTGAGCTGCCTCCCTGCAGGCTTTGAGGGGCTCAACTAAAGAGCAGCTTCATCTTAACCCCTTCCCCAGATCCTAAGCTTCAGAATTTGCTTCTCTTGGGTCGTCCTGAAAGAACAAGCCTTTTGCAGGAGAGACATTAATCATTATTTTTATTGGAATGATTAAGTATTGTTTTAAGGGTTAGATAAATTAATGGAATGGGGTCAACCCATGAGTTCATGGCAGTTCATGCCAGATTGCTGAGCGCAAGAGACAGATTAACTGTGGAAAACATGGCTATTAAATTAAGCATGTGACCTATAATTGGACATTGATGGATGCAAAGAGAATATGTTTGGCTAGATGCGCATTGATTGGATCCAGCAATCTGTTAAATATCTACTAACCTACCGTAGGATAAATAGGTATCTATTCATCCATTTTAAATGGATGAATAGATACCTATTTATCCATTTTAAATAGACTAAAATAAAAGCCTTTTGAGATGAATAATAAAAGTTTTACAGTGATACAAACTTTTTAGGACTATAGCACTCTGGTCAACTTTATGATGTGTTAACATTCAGCAGATGCATATTTTGTGTCACATTGGTATGCATTTCAAGTGTGTGTGTGTGTGTGTGTGTGTGTAGTAAATGACATTGAAGTTATTTTAAATATTGATTAATTCTGTCTTCTGGGGGGGGGGTTAAATGTATTAATACACAACTTCCATCTTTCCAGATGGCTTGGCTGAAACTGGTAGAAGTTGCTATTCACACATCTAAAAAAAAACATGCTGGGAAAGTCTGTGACAGTCATTGATTTAGACCAGGGGTAGGCAACTTCTGCTCTTTTATGACTCATGGACCTCAACTCCCAGAATTCCTGAGTCAGCATACAGTAGCTGACTCAGGAATTCTGGGAGTTGAAGTCCATGAGTCATAAAAAAGCCGAGGTTGCTTACCCCTGATTTAGACTGTCGGTTTAAGTGGTATAAACTTTCTGTTAAGAGAATTTGGAGTAAAGCTTCTTGATTTAATAATCGGTTTTGTGGTTATAACTTCTGACCCTACTGGATACTCAATAAATGTCATTTTTCCATAGATACCTTTATTAATATTTTGTTAACTAACTTGGAGGCCTGCCGTATTTTGGTACTGTCAGTTTCAGAAATTAGCCTACTAAATTAAAAATAAAAGTGTTTGCTAATTTAGCTGCTACAAGTGATAATAATTATACTGAAATACAACGCCCATAAATATAAACCAAAAATCCCCAAAGCCAAGCATACAATGCTATTTCTTTCTTTCTTTTCTTTTCAGCAGAACTTCTAGCTGAATTTGCCAACTACTTTTATTATGGCTATCATGAATGCATGAAGAATCTAGTTCATTACCTGACCACAGTGGAGAGAATGGAGACCAAAGATACCAAGTATGCTCGGATTCTGGCTTTCTTGCAATCCAAAGCTCACTTCATCACAGACCCTCTCTTTGCTTCCTTGGGGTCTCTTCCAGAGTCAGACTTTTCCTACCAGCTTCCCCCAGCTCCAGACTGCTTGGGTCAAGGCACTAACGATCCTGTTTTCTCACAGGCAGCTGGGCATGGTCACTTCTCCTGGCATGGTTCCACCAGAAATCCTACCATTCCTTACCTTCCCAATACCGCTATGCCCCTCACTAGTCCAGGACAGCAGCGCAACGCTTACTTGCCATCAGCACAAGGGCTGGATCGCCACTACCTCAACCTGATTGGCCATTCCCACCCCAATACATTTAGCCTGCCTCCTGGCCAACATCCATCTGTGTTGTAGCATGCATCTGGGACGTCCAGTTTGTTTCCAAAGAGGGCTCCTGTGTCTTTCATGGCTGAATAGAGAACTGGATGGTTTCTTCTGACATGTTATCCCTAAAGGCAAAGAACATCTTTGAGCCCATTAGTTATCTGAAAGAATATATTACCTTGCACCACAATGGCCCTCCCATAATTGTAAACAGACGTGTAACTAATGGTGGGGAAAGAATAAAGATGAACTGCTGGGGGAAGAAGGTGTGTATGCCTGAGATGTCTTTATTCGTTCTTCTGTTATCCAGCTTTTCTAAATATTTGCTCCAATAGTGTATTGTTTGCTTTCCAAACAAAAATCAATAAGATTAAGAAAGAGAGGGGAGATGTCTGTGCCAAATGAGTATATTTACCACCCTACTCATGACAATTTTTACATTTGCAAGAGGAGCAACTTTATATGGTAACCTTTAACTGAAATAGAGGTAGTCCTTGACTTACAACCTTTCATTTAGTGACCATTCAAAGTTACAACAGCACTGAAAAAAGTGACTTAACGACTTTTCACACCTATAACTGTTGCAGCATCTCCATGGCCATGTGATCAAAATTCAGATGGTTAGCAACTGACTAATATTTATGACAGTTGCAGTGTCCTGGGGTCATGTGATCATCTTTAGCGACCTACAGACAAGCAGTCAATAAGGAAGCCAGATTCACTTAACAACTGTGTTACTAATTTGACAACTGCAGTGATTCACTTAATAGCTGTGGCAAGAAAGGTCGTAGAATGGGGTAAAATTCACTTAACAACTATCTTGCTTAGCAACATAATTTTTGGGTTTAGTTGTGGTCATAAGTCGAGGACTACCTGTATTATGTTGTTTGAGATGAAATGGGAAAACTCCAGCATATTATATAAAATATATAATATTTTTCATGTTAAGGCAGATTACTGACTCCTCTAGCATACTGCCAGAAGCTGAACTTAGTACATACTCATACAAAGAATATAAAGTATAATAGAAGGATGAGCCACATGAAACCTGTGGGGATTTATGTTATTTTCTTCTTGTACAAAGTTCAAAACAGTGACTTTCAGCTAGAATGAATGAAAACAGCAACTACCGGTCGTATGAGTCTCTGCTAAGAGTTGTCACTACAAGCCTAGAGCTCACAAACTCTTTACACAAAACTTTCCTATTACATTTTCTTGGTGGTGGATAGGAGTGAAGAAAATAAATTGTTGCTATTCCGGAACACTTAGAAATCTGACTGCTTTGGTATTTTTCTACATACTGCTTAGGGTTCTAGATTCTATCTTTTTTTGGCAGACAGATGAGAATGGTCCTGTTCACACAACATAGTCTAAGTGGGCTAAACTTATCTATTATATGAACATTCTAGCCTAGTCAAAATGGGGGGGGGAGCTTTGCAGCCATAGCATAGAAACAAAGAAGAGACAATAGAATGGCAATCTTCCGTGTTGCCAAAGCAGACAACTTTCTAAAACTATCCTACAGCAGCAGCAAAACAACAGAATTCCCAAGAGTTTGTTTTTATGTTTTAACTCCCGTGGCCACATGAAGTGGGAATAGGAAACAGAAAGAAGGTGCTGGTGGAGGGTAATTCTCTCACGATTCCATCAGTGTTGGCCTATCCCCCAATTGGGCTATTTCAGATTTATAAACCATTTCTCTTCTGAAGACGGAAGAAAAAGAAAAAGAAGGAATTGGTAAGCTCCTGCTTTCATTGCAGTAGCTAGGAAGACTTTGATGATTGTCTTCCTTTGAATAACTGGCCTAACTCAGTCATGATGCTGGATGAAAGGCTGGCTTGACTAGTTACGTTGTACAGGTAGTTCTCAACGTGTGACCACAACTGAGTCCAAAATTTAAGTTGCTAAGTGAGAAATTTGTTAAGTGAGATTTGCCCCATTTTACAACTTTTCTTGTCACATTTGTTAAATGAATCACTGCAGTTGTTAAATTAGTGACATGGTTGTTAAGTGAATCTGGTTTCCCCATTGACTTTGCTTGTCAGAAGGTCGCAAAAGGGAATCACATGACCCCGGGACACTGCAACCATCATAAATGTGAGTCAGATGTCAAGCATCCAAATGTAAACACGTGACCATGCAGAATAACTTATTCCATGAACTGAATTATTTGCTAAGGTCATCAAATGGGTTGATCCACAATTTCTGTATATAGATAGATAGATAGATAGATAGATAGATAGATAGATAGATAGATAGATAGATAGATATAGATATAGATATGTGTGTGTGTATATATATATATATATATATATATGTATATATATATTTCTGAGGTTTTCGCGGGTGTTTGTATGTAGGTCTTTGGTTATTTGGGTTTTCTCCCACGTCAAATTGGAAGTGTCTTGGCGACGTTTCGACGAAGTCTCATTCGTCATCTTCAGGCTGGTGTTTTCGGTTTGGTGTTTCTAGGAGCAATGTGTGATCATAGCTGTTTCTTCCTTTTAACTGCCAGTGGGGGTATGAACTGATTGGGTGAGAGCTTGGCTGTGTTGTGATTGGTTAGGAGCTTGGCTGTGCTCTGATTGGATGGGGGGTTGGCTGTGCTCTGATTGGATGGGGGAGTGTTCATTTTGGGTGGGGGCTTTGTTGTGCTCAGGTTAGTCTGAGTTGCAGGGGGGGTTAAGATGGAGGGCTACCTTGCTATTTTTTGGCTTCGGGTTCGTGGTTGTGCCTCATCTTCATGGTGGGTGTCAGTTTGCTTCATGTATGGATTGGAGGGGTTTAAAGTGGCTAATGATGCAAATGTGGTCTGGCTTCTGGTTTGTGGTCATGCCTCATCATCGGTGTGGGTTTGGGTTTGCTTCTTGCGTGGATGTGTGGTGGTGACATCCTGTGTGGTTTTTGTGAGTGTGGGTCTGGTGTCATTCTTTGTGTTAGGGACTCGTTTGTCAATAAGGGCGGGTTTCCAAATGGCCATTTGGACCACGAACGCAAAGCCAAACAACAGCAATGCACTCACCATCTCACACCCCCCTGCAACTCAGACTAACCTGAGCACAACAAAGCCGCCACCCAAACAGAACACTCCCCCAGCTAATCAGAGCACAGCCAACCCCCCACCCAATCAGAGCACAGCCAAGCTCTTAAACAATCAGAACACAGCCAAGCTCTCACCCAATCAGTTCATACCCCCACTGGCAGTTAAAAGGAAGAAACAGCTACAATCACACATTGCTCCTAGAAGCACCAAGCCGAAAACACCAGCCTGAAGATGACGAATGAGACTTCGTCGAAACATCGTCAAGACACTTCCAATTTGACGTGGAGAAAACCCAAATAACCAAAGATATATATATTAAATAATAAAATATACGAACACCAGGAAGTTATAAAACTATAAAAAGTTTTAATAGAATAAAACCAAGCTTTCGCTGGCTTCTGCCAGCATCATCAGGGTAGCGTCCAGTCGATGTGAGAAGCTATTTATAGATGTGGCGCTCTTTGCGCCTGGCTTCTTGACCTCATCATGGGTCCCAGCCAATCCACCTGCGTTTTGATCGTAGTTTCTGTATTGCAAGCTGTAATTTCCTCACTTTCCTTGTTTGTGCCGATACCACAGTTCTTCCTCCCTTCTTCGTATGACTGTAAGTCGGGGGGATTCTTTAATTCTACGTAGTTAAATGTGCACTGTCTGTTTTATAACTTCCTGGTGTTCGTATATTTTATTATTTAACATGAGTACCCAGGAATCACCGTTTTGTTTCCTGGTGATCACGTTTTGTTATTTAATATGAACATACCCAGGAATCACTCTTCTATTTTTAGCATTGTTCTATACATATATATATATATATATATATATATATATATATATATATATCTCCTTTAAACTGTAAATACAGGAAAAGAAATCTGGTGTGAGAGATGACTTAAAATTAAAATTTGGTGAAAGGAAGATAAATAACAACCAGTTTTGTTATGAGTCCAAATCCATATTATGAGTGTTGTAAGAAAACAGCTCTTGTTAAGCGTCTATAGGATAAAATTCATGTGGTAGTGGAAGAATGGCTGGTGTCTATTATAAAAAAACATGTTTTACACACATTTTCTTCATCTCTTGAGGCAGAATATGAAGAAAAAGTCTTTGACTGTTTTTCTCTTCCTAGCACTAAGCCATTCAGATCTCCTTTGGCACTGAAGCATTACAGACCCACTGTTACCCTGGAAATATAAATTATTATTAATTTATTCAACATTTTGAGTACTGTTAACCAAATTAGATCAAAACTCTCCCCCTTCCTAACTTTTCTCTGCTCAATATTCTTTCTAGGATTAGCCCAAGGCCACCACAGTCAAATTTACATATAATTTTGCAAACCTGCAGCAGCCCAAGACAGTCTTTGTGTCTCAAAAGTTGCTTCTATTCTTCAATCTCTCTCTTTGTGCCCTTCCCTCCCCTTTTCATTTAACAGAGGAGGATAACCTCGGCTTTAGATTTACAATGGGCTTGGGATAAAATTTTTGTCTCCTTGTCCCGCCATAATCTTTGCCTGCCTCTGCATCTCCTGGCTTCTCCCCATTTTAGAACCAAGTCTCTCCTCATTTCCGCGTTCACTTACAAAGACCTGCTGTCTGAAGTAGTCTTAATTTCATTCTCAGACAGTGAGAAATATTATTTTAGGTGAAAAAAGAAATAAATACATTTTGAAGCTAATTTTCCTCCCTTTCCCCCACCCCCCCAATACCTGAATAGCACCAGATTTTCTTCTTTCTTTTATGCTCTCCTCTAAATTAAGTTGTATAGTGCCTCCAACAAAATACAAGAGCAAATTTCCTAGCAGTTTGGGCTGGTGGTGAACCATTGTAGCCCCTTGTTTCTTGGGCTTCATCCTTGGTTGGGCAAGAATAAAAATAATCATCCCCATGAAATCAGAGTTTCTCTCTGCACAAGGGACAAAGCTAGGCCTCAGTCACCTTGAATTTGTCTTAGCTGCTAGAAGAGGCTTGCAACCAGCATGGGACTGAGTCCACCCAGGGACCATCCACCCCAGCTTTCTTAATACAGGTCACGTGTGCTTTTCAAACATTATTGAACAAACAACCAATTCCTCCCAGCCCCGTGTGCTCTCATGACAACAACTTCATTCGCTTGCATTAACCTCAGATGATGCAAAATGGCAAGCTGGAATGGAGAACGTTGCAGGCATGGGTCAAAGATATCCATGAATATTAAAAGGATGACATGGTTTCCCAGAGAAA